CAACAAAATCAATATCCATATAAAAACCAATAAATTATAAGGGGCTTTATATATACCATCTAAAGAGATCTAGCCTCCTTTAACTCTAAAAAAAAATGCAAGAGTAACCTCCTCCACTAAAAGGGATAAAAAAGGTTAAAAATTGAGACACCACTGATACATTTAAGGATTATGACTTTGAAGGTTTTGCATTCTCTCATGACAACACCTTGGTTGTTACAGTAATAATATTAAACTTAAGAGTCTACTTAGTAACTAGTCCTTGTGGACAATAAAAGTCCAATTTAATAAAATTAAAGTTATTTTGGATGTGTTTGAACAATTATAATAGTTGGACTTTCCACTAGAGGATTCAATGGCTTAGCCACAAAAAAATAGAAAGCTCAATCAACTTGCCCACAGTTGTAGGGGAGGAGCCCTACATAAGCATGATTATGATAAAATTCCTTATAGCCAAAATCTTTTAACCTATAATGTTATATCTTTTGACCTTAATTTTTTTCTTTAAATAATATTATATTCCCTCATATCAATGATGAAATTTCTGATCCATTCCAAAATTAGTAAAGTCCAAGATGACTAAATGGAATGAGAGCAATGTGACCTTATTAATAAAGTTTTTGGGAAAAGCACCAACGAATTATAACACAAAATCTTGCCTTTAAAAACACAAATCATTGGGGCTAGTTGAGGTGATAGAGGAAGATCCCTTTATTAGTTTTCAAGTAACTATAATAAAACCCCATAAAAAGTAAATATAAGTTCCATATTGAAACACACACTAAAAAAATAGTGGGTATTCATCCTAGATGAACAAAGAAATTTTTTTGGTAAGAACCTTATACAGATACCAAGGCCATAAATGGCATCTTGTTGACTTTCTCTCATTGCATATGCAAATTTGATTGAAGGCCTTAGACACTGAAAAAAGTGGCAATACAAGAGGAAGTTACCATATAGAAACAAATTAGCCTTCCACCAGAACTGAAAATTTAGATTGATATTAGCCATGTTATCTTAGTAAATAAATAAAATAAAAAGTAACGGATGTGTATAAAATTCTTTGGACTTTAATAAAAATGTGCCCATAAAATTCATAATTTATCGTAGACTGTTCATTTGATTGATTCCAAAACAAGGCCCATTCTAAGTAGAACCCTTTTATACATTCTTCAGATATCATCATATCTTAATGCATCTTAAAGACTAAAAAAATTTATTTGATCAACCCTATGAATACTTATCTTTCCAAGAGATGTTATTCAGGTGGAAGAATGTTAGGCCATATGCCAATGCCTGTTTGATGAAGTGTTTAAGCCCAATTGTGGAGGAAATTTATAAGTATCCATTAATAAGTAAAGAAGCATAAGCCAAGACCAACATATTGAAAGATGTGTTCTTGGGTCGAATATAGAAAATTTCTTGATTTCCTAGTATCTTAAAAAAGAATTGATGTTACCTCAAGTAAAATGCAAACTCTCTAAATAATTTTTTTAAAAGTAATAAAAGATATATTAACTCATGATCATGTTTGTAACCTGAAGCATTTATTATTAAATTCACTAAAAACAAGCCTCTTATTCTCTTAACTAATTAAAAATGTTATTTTTTCCCCCTATTACTTGAATAAACCTTTAGAAAAACTCTACAGTTATCCATAAGAGTATCTTACATTTCCTTTAGTTTGATGTTAGTTAAAAAAAGTGGCAAGAAGAAGGTCAAATTCTAATCTCCTTCTTTAGCCAAGTTTTATAAGACTAAAGTCTCAATATTTGATCCTAGAAAAGACAAAAATTATGCTTTTCCAAACTATTACACTTGTGCCATTACTTGTAGGCCCATCTAGTTTTAATGTTAACTGATAAACATTAAGGCCCATCTTACATGATATAGACACTTTAGAAGGACTATTGGAATAAGCTTTTATGAATTATAATTTCCTTTATAAAGCCCAAAGAGGAATCATGGGGCAAGTATTAATTGACTTCTTAGTCAAGATGACACCACAAGAGTAATACATTTGATAAGTCTCAATAGATGAATCCATTGAAGTTGAAGGAAACATAATCTATTTTAGACTATTAGAACATGCACGGGATTTTAAATAACCATAACTCATACAAATTCTATAGAATATGGCTAGGCTTGAAACAAAAATTCACAGACCTTGAATTTTATGACTACCTCTCAAAGATTGAATTTATTAAGTCTAGTGATGAATTTATTAAGTCTAGTGCTATAGCTAGTACTCCCAACCTTGATATGAAGATAACAAACACTACAACACCCAATATTCATGTGCTTGAGATAACCATTATGATCATAAAATATAAGAAAGACTATTGGTTGGGTTGTCGCCCTCGAACCACTAAAAAGGTGTCACATTTAGTTAAAACAACCATATATAACTCAAAAGACTTGTTATACATCAAAATAATTTTATTTTAAATTGCTTAACTTCATTTTCCCCAACCAATGACCCTAAAAGATATTTAGTACTTGTGAAGGCACTAATCCATGAGTTGTTACACAAGGCCATACACATCAATCTCAATCGCCAAGGAAATAAGTTAGTGATAATTGATTAGCCATGTTAATTTATATCCTCAAATAGCAGATATCCCATGATGTCCTCATCTCACCACAAGTCAACCATCCTTTCAGTCTAAATCACATAAAGTTGTGGAAATCACTCGTAAATTATCATACTCTTTAATATCCAAGCTCTTATAAATACCTTGCCAAATAACAATAAAAATAAGAGTTTTATTTATTTCGCAAGTAAATTAGAAATTTCTACACCATAAGAGGGGCATATAATGTTTTAGGGAGTTTTTCCTTTTAAACATGTCCTTAGTGGGTAAATAACAAATTAAGCCAATTGTTTTTTTTTCTCATATAATCACGAGCTTTAGCTTTAAAAGTTGAAATTGAGTTTTTGTCGATTTGACTTTGATATAATAATAGTAAGAGTAAATTATTAAATTAGTTTCTAAAATTTGGTTTCAAATACTTTTTATTAATCTTTGGTCATCGATATATATTTTTATTTTAAATGTCTAGTTTCTTTCTATTTCATAATAGAAAAAATAAAAATAATTATGTTATATGTTTTAAAAAAATAAATAAAAAATAATTTTGACTAACTAACTAAATTAATAAATTAATGACAATAAAAATAGGCCTAATAATATTATTAGATTAATTACTTAGTTAAAATTATTCTTTTCGAGTTATTTTTGAAGCTTTTGAACATGGTTATAACCATTTTAATTTTCTTTTCAGAAATAGAAAGAAACTAGTTATTTGAAATAAATGAAAAATATCAGGCATTAAATTGTAACGAAAATTTAAGAACTAAATTGTATAAGTATCAAACTTTAAAGAATAATTTGATAATTTTACTAATAAAAACTTGTATTTCCTATTAGAATGAATATGGATGTAACCCAAGTTATAAAATAATTGGTTGATGAACCAATTATAAAATAATGGTGAATACGGTACCTGCAGGGATATGGAATGACAGAGACATGTGGGATGATTGCACAAGAATATGCAAAACAAGAGTCTCCTTACCATTCTGGCTCCACTGGAATCCTTGCTTCCACATTTCAATCCAAAATAATTTCAGTCTATTCCTCTAAAGCTCTGCCACCCAATCAACTAGGAGAAATATGTGTTCGAAGCCCCAGTATCACTCAAGGTTAAATGTCAGTTTTTATTAATTACCTTACATATATATGCACACACTCACTAGAATTATATTACTTTTTGTATCAGCTCATTAAATTTTATCATGCTATATTTTGTTAAAAGGACTTTATTTACTTCATCTATGATTTGTTAGGTTATCTTAAAAATCCACAAGCAACGAAGTTAACCATAGATGAAGAAGGGTGGTTACATACAGGAGATCTTGGATATTTTGATGAAGCTGGAAGATTGTTTGTTGTGGATCGAATAAAAGAACTTATCAAGTGTTATGGCTATCAGGTATTATACTTAAATTTAACCTCTTCTTTTACACTTAAACTTACTAAAATAAAACCAAGATGTATAAACATGCTAAGACGAATAAATGAGTAATATAGGGTTTTATTTATGGGAGTCGTTATAATGCCTAAATAACTAAAGGATAATAGGGAGAAAGATAGAAAAAAATACTTGTATGTATAAGAGTTCAGGAAGTGTTACTATGTCAATGTTTTTCACTTATTTATAGAATTCTTATGTCCCTTGGTTTTGTAATTGAAAGTGTTTGTTGGCATTACATAATGAACGTAAGAATTAGTAGTAAAGTCACGAGTAATACTAACCATTGATAGAGAAATGATCGAGAATAATGGAAGAAGAATATATCTCCTTTAAAGAGCCACATTTTGTTACTTGTCATTCTATCTATTGACTTAGCAAGCCATTTTGTGCCATTTATCATGCCATTTTCTACCACATAGCTTTTTATATACTTCAAATTTTGGATGTTGAAAGAAAATGAACTTCACCGACTAAGCTATCTAAGCTATCCAAAACTAATGTTTTTATATAAAAAATGATAGGTAAAAGAGAAGAAAAATACCGAATTTGCACAAGTAATATTCAGTGATGGCGGAAGGCGCAGAAGTGGGCGAATGGAGAGAGAAGCTCTTCGCAGGAGT